GCGCACTATCCAGTGCGCCACCGGGCTGGCCCCTATAGGTATTTTTTTTTAACTGAGTTTAATTTAAGCAAGAAAAGAAAAAAATGAATAAAAATGATTTGCGAATTGGGCAGCCCCTACCTAGAGTCAGAACAGATTCAGAGAGCCTACACCATTGCCACGTGGTTGGTTGAGATTTACAGACAGAAAAAGGGACATGAGGTGTAGGACAGCCGGCTGCGTAGCTGGTTGAGACTCAGCTACTTGTTACAGGAGTAGGTCACAGTCTGCCTGCACATCAAGTTGGGTTACAAGAATAGGTTAGTCTGTTTACACATCAAGTTAGGCTACAGTTCACTATGTCTGAAGAAATCTTTAGGTCAAATGTAAATTAACAATTCCCTCCTCTTGGTCAACTGCTCAGTTTTGAGAGACTGACCAAAACTTTAGGCACTGACATCACTCTGTGTCATCACTGTAAATGGACTTATTTGGTCTCAAATTTCACTGGGAAATAGCAGAACAGTGGGTCATATAAGGTGGGATCAGGGAAACAGAACGATGGAAAAAAGCTAATTAGCATCGTTACCTTTTCATAAGGTTTAAAACAGAGGAGACTTCCTTATTATGCTGGAATCTCCTACTGTCAGGAGAGAAAAAACTGGTCTGTTTTGAGATCTATCTGCTTTCTTAAAATTTTGGTTTGATTAGGTGGCACTTAACGTGAGAGACTCCATTTTGGTTTGGTCTTACCTGTTGGGTACTAGCGAAGGAGCTCAGTCCAAAACAATGGGCTCCCATAATTTTGTTTAACAATTCCTCCCTTTTTGTCAGGTTCTTGCCTAGGTGAGAATGTGGCCAAAACTTAGGACATGAGTGCCACTCTCAGTTACCATCATTTCAGGTTTCCAGTCTCAACATGTCATTAATATGTTACAGTGTCCTCCTGCTCATGTATTTCTTTGACTTTTTGTCATTCCATTAGAAGACAGAACATTTGATATCTCACAGATGGCTGCATTCAAACATTTAAAACTTTTGAGAGAATACAGCACACCAGGGAGACTACTATTTTGACTGTCGGGAGGATAATACCAAGATTTTGGCGTATGCTCCTTAAGTATGCTAAAGGTCCTCATGAAGCAAACAAACCAAAATCAAATAGATTAAAGATTAGGCCAGATGAAGAGTCTTGTCCTTTTAACCATTTGTTAATCCCCTGCAACTGGGTCTTTATTACACCTGATGTATTATTTGTGTAATAAGTAGTGTCAGCAACTGCACAGATTTTTCCGTTTGTCCAGTGGGCAATCTAGAGCAACTCTACTATCTAGCACAACTTTAGCAGGAAAACTTAAAGAAGTCTGTATGTTACCATAGGCTTTGCAACAGAATATGCTACAGAGCCTATCATGAGGGACAATTTTTAAATTATTGCCTCATTTATATTTACTCTAATAAATGGAAAACAAAACAAAACAAAAACCTAACAAATGATACCCATCCAGAAGGGTCAATTCCTTCTAGCAATGTTCTCTTTAACACATGATGTAGATTAAGAGGAGTGAACTAATGCTGACTTTTTGACTGATTATGGGGCAACCAAGGTACCATTAAAATTTCTAGCCCACAATGGCCCCTCATTTTTCAGCTATCAAAGTTGCCCATTATAAGGTTGGCTGCAAAATCCTCCACAAATAAAAGCATGCCCCATGGGTGCACACAGGCCCTTTTTTTAGTTCTATTATTCATAAATACATTACTGGGAATGGGGAAATTAGCAGTTTCTAGCCAAGGGTCTGAGGCAAAGTTACTAGAGATTAAAAGAATAGTCTAGTATCCTGGCACACAGATTAGTTAGCAAGAAACTCCTTTTGAGTTTTTGTAGATGCACATCATATCTGCAAGGCATAACTAAATTCTGAGGTCCAAAAGACAACACTTTCAGGGCATATTAAGTTCTTCTGTGGAAGGGAAATATCATAGCCATCAGTAATCAGCAAAGATGAAAAGGTTGAAAAGACACAGCAATGCTGAAGGAAAAAACACCTGTGGGGAAATGGGAAAGAGTGGGCAAACAACACTGCATGACTATCCTGTCATAGCCGAGTCCAGCATCTATGACAGCTCCTCTGAATAAATGTTTATGGAATGAATAAATAATTAATGAAAGCAGAGAAACAAATATGGACAATTAAAGGTTGAAAATGTGTATGTAGGAAAGAGGAAGAGAAATGAAATCAATAGTTTTGAAAGATGGGCAAAGAAGAGATGAGGGACCTAGATGCAAGCAAGGATGACAGGCATGTTTGCTAGAGCTTCTGTAAAAATATCCCAAAACATGCGGCAAAGGTCTATAATTGGAATAAGAAGCGGCAAGACTCCCCAAATAATTTTCTCCAACATGCTTCTTAAATATTGTAATAACATCTGCATTTCACCTTCTGAAGGTTTGATTTCTATACAAATAAAATATACCAGCTCATTCTGTCTGTGCAGACTAGACATACATATGGTACATACACTTCCAATTCCTTGCCCTTTGCAAACTGTGCCTTACACCTGGAGGGCCTGTCTTCTCTTCACCAGCGCAGAATTCTGTGCTTGAAGACCAAGCTCAAGATTGACCTTTTTCAAGAAGTGGTCCTTGACAAACCTCATTACATAAGAATCGCTGCTCTAATTTCTTCCACCAGACATAAATATAATTTATTTAGGATCAGCAACAGTCTGTGTTTGCTAGCATCAGTATGTTTTCCTCTCTAGCTTTATTTTAAAGATCTTGAGGGGCAAATGTTTTCTTAAACTTTTTTTTTTAATCTCCACAGCACCTACTATAGTACTATGCACACACCAGTTAGTAAAATAAGCACTATTATAATATACTAGGAATAGCTCATGTTCCAATATTACAAAATCTTAAGGTTACAATTATATTGAAGTCTAAACATAAAAGTAAGTAATCTCCACCATATTAATAAAACTTGAAGCTTAATTATTCTGACAAGAGATTCAAGAAAGATATACTAAAGGTCTCTTCCAAAATTTTACAAAAGATGACAGCATCTCAACTCACCTGTTCTATAAAATCCAGTTGTTACACAGACACATGAAAAAATACCCAACATCAGTCAGCATTCAGGAAATTCAAATCAAAATCACTTTGAGATACCATCTCACTCCAGTTAGAATGGCTAATATCCAAAAGACTGAGAATGACAAATGCTGGTGAGGATGCGGAGAAAAAGGAACCCTCCTACAGTGTTGGTGGGACTGCAAAATGGTGCAGCCTTTAGGCAAAATGAGGAAGTTCCTCAAACAACTACAGATAGATCTACCATGTGACCCAGCTATTCCACTGCTGGGAATATATCCAGAGGAATGGAAACCATCATGTCAAAGGGATACTTGCACTCCCATGTTTACTGCAGCACTAGTTACAATAGCCAAGGTTGAAATCAGCCTAAATGTCCATCATCAGATGAGTGGATAAGGAAGCTGTGGTATACCTACACAATGGAATACAACTCTGCTTTACAAAAAAAGGAAATACTACCATTTGCAGCAACATGGATGTACTTAGAGAAAATCATATTAAGTGAAATAAGCCAGGCACAGAAAGAGAAATACTTGTGGGAGCTAATCAAAGTAAATAAATAAATATACAAACAAACAAACAGGGAGGGGGAGGGTAAGAAGACACAACAATCACAACAATTACTTGAACTTGTTAAGACAAGTGAACAGATGTGAGGTTGATGGGGGGAGAAGGGACGGAGGGAGAGAAGGAAAGGAGGAATTTAGTAAAGGGACATGAAAATCAACTATTGTGTATATTGACAAATTTTAAAAAATAAATAAGTAAAATCCAGTTGTTACAACTTGAGAAGTAGTAGGTATTGGAACTAAGAATGATATAAATAGAAATTAATTCGGAGATTAAAATAAGATGCAGGAAATTACTCTACAGCATTATTTTTTTCCTCTTAATTCAAGACAACTCAGGGACGCTAAGGAGATAAAGGCGCCTCAAAACCAATGAGAGTGAAGCCACTCTACAAAACATACAATGTGCTGCTTCCGTTTTCAGATGTTTTCTCTGGCAAGGGCAGGAGAAACTACCCAATGTCTCTTTAGCAGTTTTCTCCTTTGTTTACCTCAAATTGTGGTTACTGAAACTTTCAGCTAATATTTTTGAAAATCTACATCTAGAGAAAGCCCTTTTGAAAAATCACCCAGGTTGATAAGGCAAAATTCATGAATTCTTACTGTGTTTTTGGAAGTGTGTTCTGAAGCAATAGAGGCCAGCTCCTCAAGACTGTACACGGTCACATCTGCCTGAGGTGCTCCGTTTTGACTGAGAATCTGGAAAAACTCACTGTTATGCTAAGAGACACAGGGAAATAAACATAGTCCACAGCCAACAGAATCTTTAAAAATCATTTTTATCACTATCAAGCTGGCTTTTTTTTTTTTTTTAGGATGAGACGCCTTAGGGGCTTTCCTCAAAACCAGATCATTTTCTGCCTTTCACCTAAAATATTGATAACTGTATAAACTTAGGATTCTGACTTTTATGAATTCTGCATGTTCTAGGTCTCAAGGAGCAAGATACATCTAAGGTACTAAAACAAGTTACTGAAACCCAAAATTCTAGACACACACACACAGTTTTTAGGGCAAAAACATTACCCCAGTATTCAGGAACGATATATCATATATGAAAGCACAGAGGTTTGTGCTTAAAGAGAATATGACTTTATGAAATCCCTGGGGAAGAAATGCAGAGAGAAAAAGGAAAAAGTGTTTACAATTGTTTGTTTTAATTTGGTAAATTTCTGCTTCAGAGGGTCTTCAAAAAGTTCATGGAAAGATTCATATCTTTTAAGTCCATTTTTCCACGAATTTTTGGAAGTATCCTCATATGTCACGAGTACATTTTAAAATTATGCATGTCAGGGAAAGGTAACTGCGTTTAGTGAAATGTATTTTCCCCTAATATCCATAGAAGACAATGTTCCTTCAAACAGCCTTCAAAATATGTTTATGCTAAACTCTATGCTCTTGTAACAAACCAGCAAAATATTGAGTTACTGAATTATTACACAAATAAGGTTCTTCTGGTCTTCTTAAGTTGAAAAATGAAGACATTAATTAAAGATTTGCTCATCTTACATAAAGCACCATAAAAGGCTCAAAGCATTTCTGACTAAAACCCCACTGACTACACTGCTGGCTGCCTCCTGCGAGTACTGGCTGACACGAGTGGGATCGAATTTTCTCTCCAGCTGTTCACCTTGCACGCTGTGGACCCAGCGAAGGGCATAGTTGAGGGCATCCAGAGTGCTCGGTTTACTGTGTCTCTCTGATGGGAAGTATTTTTTCATTTCTTGGACAACCATAACAAGTTCTTCAGAAACTCTGTTTCTATCTTGCTGTTTGCTGGAAGATAAAAAAAAAAAAAAAAAAAAAAAAAAAAAAAAAAAAAAAAAAAGATAAATTCACACATTCAATGTTGACAACAGCCAACATTTATGGACTGCAAAGTGCGTGTCAGTCTAAGTACTGGGGGACATCTGCTAACACAGTTCACAGGTTTATTATCCCTTTTCTTACAGGAAGGGAACCGAGGCAGAGAAACTGGTGAGTGTCAAATGTTTCTCGGTCTTTCTCTCATTCCCACCTCAGCTCCGGTTGTTAAGTACTGTCTGGCTGCTTCTGCTTCTCTTTGGCAATTCCCTTCAGTATCCCACATCATTTATTTCATCCTAAATGCCCCGAGTCTCCCCCTCCACTCTCTCCTGGACATACAGGATTTAAGTCCTCCTTGTCCTCTTCCTGCCTCAGGGAAGAACCACCCCGCATCCATCGGGTGTGGAAATGAAGCCGGACATCGCCTGAGGCCGCCCCCCACATACTTCCCCTGCGGCTGGTACCTGGGGCTCCCCATGTCCTCAGCTTCCTCCCCCGCGACCCGGTCGCCACCAGCCTGCGGTCCCTCCAGGTCCTCCCGGGGGTCCACCCCGCGCGCAGGCAGCCCTCGGTCCGCCGCCTGCTCCTGTCACTGCGATCAGCGGCAGGAGCGGCTTCCCTTTTGGTCCAGGCCGTCGCGTCAGAGTGACCAGTCTCCGCAAACCGGCGATCCCTGAGCCCCTCATCCAGGGCGCCCTTTCCCGCCAGCATTTCCACGAAAGCTGTGAGATCTCTGCACTCCCTGAGTCCAGCCTGCGGGAAGGAGACAAAGGCGACAAGTGACACAGGCAGCTCGACGCCGGACACCAGGCCGGCCCGGGCTCCCCGGCTGCGCGGCCCTCGGGGGGTCCGCGCCCTCCCTCCAACTTTCCCGCCGTCGGTTCGGGGACGTCGGCGTGCACCCAACAAGGGGAGCCTCGAGAGCGCCACGAGCCGGGATTCCCGGCGGAGGGCAGGGCTCGGGCGCCCCCGGCCGCGCGCGGCCCCGAAGCCCCTACCCCGACAAGCCCTCACCGGCCGCTGCCAATGAGCGTGGCCCGCGTGCAGCCGCCCCGCCCCACCGGTCCGCGCCGCCCGCAGTCTCAAGGCCCGCCACGTGCAGGG